GTAGGGCTAGCACAACAGGGCGCGACTAGCGCGAGAGCGACATAAAGCGCGAAATACTGCTATTCTATCGTAGAGATTATGTTGCGAGTAAGCGCGCTTGATGTCGCTCTCGCGGAAGTTGCGCCTTGTTGTGTCATGAAAGGAAACCTTAAATTTTTAAGATAGCTAATTTTACTTAATTTTGCATTCACAGATTTTTTGCAAAGCTTACCTGAACTGGAAATCGAACCAACTAAAAAAGCAAAAAATAAACACTCATTATTTTATTGAACTAATAAGATCAGTGATAAGGATAAAATTTTGCCAATAAGCATTGGGTACAACAATTAAAGACGTCTATGAAATCACATATAAGTCTAATATTACTATCGACTCGTAACACGAAGAACATAGTAATAAGTATTGTTTATTATTTTAGGTCCCTTTCATGTCCTATCCATTGAGGTTTTTCTACTCTGTGTATACTAAGATATATGTATTTGACGACCTCTGTGGTCGTGTGGCTTGCACGCTGGGTTTTCATGGTGTCACCATCTTTGAGATCTCGAGTTCGATGCCTGGCCGGGTTAATGTACAAACTATTTTTTCTATATTGTCACGGGTCTGGGTGTTTGTGCTACCGTCGTTGTTTCCGATTTCCATAACACAGGTGCTTTAGTTACTTACTTTGGCATCAGTGCAACGTATGTGATGATGTCAAATATTTATTTATTTATAAATGTGTATGTATATAATATATTTCTGCCAGTTGTTTCGAAGCTTTTTGTTCCTTTATGTTGAAATAGTGGTGACCGGGAAGCCTGAAATTCATTTTCGATGACTTTATAAGAGTTAAATTGTTTTCGTAGTGGATAATTATCTAAATCGTGGAAGAAATGGCAGCCACTAACCGAGACAGGGGAGGATGGAGGGTGGTGGAGAGTTTCAATGTGCACGTTGAAACACTCCTGTAAGGTCGAGATGGTTTGTTCGGCAATATGCGGCGAAGGTCGGTTGATTAGCCGTGGGTCTTTCTTTATGTGTGAGTTACTCGTTAGCGATTATCATGAAGAATTCGCTTTTAAACACAAGTTCTTCTTTATCTCTGTGTCGCGTCACTAAAACTCGAAACAGAGTTGAAATAAATAAGTCATAATCTTAAGATTTTATTTCAATACATAGCAGGTAGGCAGGCAGAAGTACTGCTACCTTACCTATTTCTGTCGCCAAGCAATAATCTCAGCATTACTGTGTTTCGGTTTTGAAGGATAAGGGTGCTGGTGAGATTTGCCCATGGGAACTTACGGCTCAGGGTGACGGGCGCGGTGGCAGCGTCCCTCATGTCTTTGCGATTTACAGCTCTGAGTAGCACTGCAACTGTTATGTACAAACGTACGATTACCACCAGGCGCACGACTACGACTTGCTCGTTCTGTCACTTGGTATCAAAAAATCTTACATAAAAAACTACGTCGTCGCTTTACTTTCTCAAACTCGTATCTTTAAGCACAATGTTACTGAAATGGACTGTATATACAAATTTTGTAGGATGATTTCATATCACATTTCCTTCATATTCACGCGCTTTTTTAATTATTCGTAAAGTAATTAACGGGAAATTTAAAATAAATAGAAAGTTTTACCATTTCCTGAATAATCACTCTTTATAAGATACGAGTTTGACAAAGTAAGGCATCAGCATTTCATTTGAAAATGGCCACAACTTAAGAATGGCTATTTCATATTTTAAACTCATGTATGAAATCGTCCCTACTTTTACTTTCTAATTTTTCCTGAGACTTAATAGTCTGAACGCTACTATTAATATTGATGGTGGGTAGAACATTCTAAATGGATAATCATAACTCGTGTTTGAAAGTTTATAACCTCTTAAGGCACCATGTACATCAAAATGTACATAATATGTGAAGTGATTTAGACCAAGGCAATATTATTCTTATGACCACGTAAACGCCCAGTGTACATTATAATAAAAATACTGCATTCAAATTTAACATTATATATTCTGTATGACCATAGGGTATCTAGAAAAATACAGTTTTGATATAAAACTGTGGGTTTGCTTGAGTCTGAAGCATGTATGTAATTATATTTAGTACATTTTATTGGTATATTGGACGTTTAGCGCTTTGCTCATTGTAATTTGCAGAGTCTTAGGAGGATAATTTAGATATTTTAATTACAGGAACAACGAGCTATCAGTTCTCGACAAGGTTTAGTGGAGGAGCAGACACGGTTATGGGAGAACACGCTGCAATTGCTGCGTTCTAAAATGCGCGCGCGCACCGAGCCAACTGCAAGGCAGGGACGCATGCACATCACACAGCATTCCCAAATGCTTACTCTCGCTTAGATCGATTACATATCGTGTCTAATATTCATATTTATTTTGTCAATTCACATAAAAATAAAATTATGAAGGTAGTTATGCGATTTTCATTTATTTAAGATTTTTTAATACGTTTCATTTACATTTCCAAAATAGTTACCCAGTTACGTAGGAACATTATTAGGTATCCAAACAAACGTTTAAGCTGTCGTAATACTGAATCTTTCGCAGCACCTGCAAGATGAAACTTTTCACAAGTTATTTTAACATAAAGATCTGTTTGAGACGTTTACTTAAATAAATATGAAGTAGGCCATGTAAATGTTATGATTTCCGATTGAATGTCAACACTGAAGATCGGATTTGGATGTAAAATTACGAATGCGTGGAGGATGCCATGAAATCCACGATGTTCGAAAACCCAATTGTAAAAGCAAATATTTTGGCAGGCCATGACTTTATCCACCGGTCACAGTCGCGTAGTAAAAACGACCCAAACCTTTCCCAAGTTCACCTTCGCTTAATTGCTTGCACAATTTGGAAATTTGCATTATCTATTTTGTATTTATATTTGTGCAGTTGTCAGTATGAAATTATCAAATGGTTTTTGGGTAATATACAGGAACTATTATAAATAATAATATATGTAACTGATGTGTGGTCGGCTCTCAACCGTAGATCTCTCAACACACTATTAATGTACGCAAAACTCAGTCACCTACACACAGACGGACACACACACGCTCACGCAAGTAATTTATATTACGCTCACGCAAGTAATTTATATTATACGAGACCTGTACCCCGCCTACGGTGGACTCGGGCTCAGCCTGCGGCACTTGGTCGGGTTCGGTTTATGGGGTGTGCTCATGCTCTTCGGTGGCGCAGTAGTTAGTACTATGGGCGCTTGATGAGGAGGTCGATTCCCGATTTGGGCCAATTTAAGAAACGAACATTTCTAAGTTGGTTTTGGTCTGAGTATTCTGGATTATCGTTGTTTTGGTATTCATAGTACAGGAAATTCGGCAGTAGTTTGGCATTTTTTCCCCCTATATACTTCTCTTTGGCATAGCTTTCAAGAAAATGGAATCTAACAGATATGGTTGAGATACAACAACGCTATAATAAGTATCTCATTTCCACTACACCGGGAAGTATGCCTTACACTTTATATGTAACTGATGATTAACACTCATAAAGACCCCGACGTGTCCATTTTCAATCGAATTAGTGCAATTTTTTATCTGCCGCTAAAAGAGTGTATGGCGGCCATATTTAAAAATGGCGAAAAACCAATTTTGATTACAAATTACTATCAAGCATTCGTAGAGACCCCCATATACCAATTTTCAAAGGGATCTGAGTATTTTTTTTTTCTGTCGCTTCTAAGACGGTCGTCATATTTGAAAATAGCGAAAAACAAATTTTGAGCACAAATTATTATTTGGCATTTCAATGCCAACATGCCAATTTTCAGTCGAATCAGAGCAAATCTCTTTCGGGTGCTATTTTTAACGAAAAAAACACTTATACGGCAGCCATGTTAAAAAATGGCGAAAAGAAATTTTTGACCCCAAATTATGATTAAGGACTCCTAAAGACCCTCGTATGCCAATTTTCAGACGGATCGAAGCAAGTTTTTCTTCGACCACCATTTTGAAATCGCCATCTTGAATTTTTTTTAACCCAGGCAGTTGACCAGTGTTACCCTCTATGATATTCCTTCGAGACCTTCTACCTATCTCTAATAGTTTCCGTGATAGGAGGCTTTGAAATTTGTATGGCGGCCAACTTGTTTATTTAACTTTCAAACATTTTTTACTTCCCGAGGAAAGTGACTAGGGTGTATCTCATAAAAATGCACAAAAATCCCCGCCATGTATTATAGTTTTTGCAGGCCGTTGATCACTCGTTTACATTTTCCACATCCAGGCTTTCTCATATTTGATTCTTTGCCTTGGAACCTAACAGCGTATCGGGAAGTATGCGTTCTATTTCTATCAGTGAGTAAGAACTTGTAGGTTTATATATATAATGGTAACACTTTTACAGTGCTTCTATTGTTCAATGTCCCTCGGCAAACTTCGTGTTTCGGCTGTCGTCTGGTTTTATTCAGTTGCACTTTGCCTTTGGTGCAGATCGAACGCTTTCAGTCGACTAGGAAGTATATAGAGTTGCTATTACATTTTTTATTTATTACACAATGGGATTAAAGCCGCTAAAGTCATAGGCACGACAGATAATTTACAGCGTGTACTTTTATCTTTTACAAGAAGCCGATACCTGTTCGAGTAGCGGAAAGCGATTATTCCATCGATGGCTACTAACATAATAGCTATGTTAGATGAAGAAATGCGTTCAGATACGGACTGAATTGAAATGATTAATAACCGGAAAAATATTCTTTTTTAGTTATATAAAAGAAGCATACTTTATTTATTTCATACTTTTGTTAACTTGGTTATTGACATGGAGTAAATATTATTAAAAATAGGGTAATAGTTTTACAGCTCTATATAGTTCACACGGAAATCAAAACAGAACAACAATATAGTATGTTGTTCAAAATTCAAATTATTATAGATTTTAAATTTAATAATTAATGGGCATGGAAATTAATATTCGTGTGCATTCGGAAATTCGATGATTGCCGAGGGACATTGAGAAAATAGAAGCACTGTACCTATATATAATACAATGCAATATACAGTGGGATGAATGCCTGTGCAACAGTAGAGCTCCTTGTGAAAGAGTTCGTCCAGGGAAGTATGCCACCTTACCTATTCCTGCCGTCAAGCGTAACGTGAGTAAGTAAGGGTGCTGGTGAAATTACAGGCACACGGGACTTGTCAACTTACGTTTCAGGGTCACGGATGCAGTAGCAGTGCCGTCAAATCTTTGTGATTTAAAACTCTGAATGGCACTGCAACTGTTATGTACAGACATGTCGCTTACCACTAGTTGCACAATTTTGTCACTTGGTATCATAAAAAAAACTAGTTAAATCCTAGTATACACTCCAGTCTCTTAAAAAGGTATTTAATGATAAGACCATAATCAAACCGCTCCGATGTATATGAAAAATTTGCAAAGAGAAAAAAAAATGCGTCCTCTTGAGTAGGTTCCCATTACTTATAACCTTATAACAGAATGTTTTTTATGTGCTGTTTTGACTTGCTGGTATTGTTTTATTCGTTTAAATTATGACTTGAATGTTATATGTGTAACGGCAATACAGTCGGGTGACTATAAATTTGTGGCGTCGCCACACTAACTATTCTTATTTGCAATTCAGATGACACCTCGGTTCAGCTCCTCTCTGAAATTGTCGCCGTGACAGACACGTATCAGCATCAAGAATAATTCGGTTGATGTGCAGAGACTGTCTTAAAAATATTGCCTGAGGACTTAACAGTAGTAGCACTGAACTTTTTTATGGCGATAGGATGAAAGTTTTCAAGTGGCAAAATAATTTTTAAAGTGATTCGACGACTTTTTCAAATGTTGGATCCAAATTCCCAAATCACGCTCACGCAATTTCAAAGTTAGGATGGTGAACAAGTGGTTGCGAACAAGCAGAAAGTAATTTTCTCGCAATTGATGACTAGCCGGACCTCGAAGCGTAGCGGCGACGACGACGTCGCTGAAACTATAAGTTTGATCAAATAATTTTCTATGTCGGCCAGCCTTGCGATTGTCCACAGGGGTTTCAATATATGAAGTAACCATTAATAAACAAGCAATTTGCTACATTCAAAATGTGACTGGTTTCGTGCTAAACGAAATGTATCATGAGTGAAACCTAAACTTTTTATCTGGTTAGCTGCGTCTTGGGTGAAAAATAATATGCAAAATCTTGAGAACAACATTCTCAAATATAGGATTTAATGGAATTTGAACGTTTATGGGACAATAAATACGTTTTTATTTTGTAGAAAATAAAGAAAAAATTTTACATTACGTATTATGTCGTGCAAATCTTCAAGATTACCACTTCATGCGATTATTTTTCAGCGCTTGAAGACTTCCGTAAGTTAAAACTCACTCTCTAAATCAATATTTTATTTGGTTTGTCTGAAAAAACAAATATACGCGATTTAAATCCGGAAAAATAGTTTCATTTCCTATGTGTAACAATCGCGAAAACCTAAGAACTCGATAAATATATTTTACTTTGAGTGTAACTAACTTTTGGTAGTTGATCGAATTCTGTCACTGCACTTGGGCTCGATAGGAGATCGTTTCTGTGAATTCGATTACTTGTATCTATCTAAAGCCCCGCTGTAATTATGTAAAGTGTAATACGCTCTTCGAGGATTCCTTAGGAGGGTACGTCGAGGGAGAGTAGCGAAGTATGAAAAATTAAGACGGAGCATTTACGATCATCTAATTGCAAGTTTAAATTTTGCTCTAGAGCTTTCGTCGGACTCGTGCATGTGAGCAGTTTTTCCAGAAATGCACAATAAAAATGTTTCGTAATTAAATTTCGTAGTTCAAATGGAGAAGAACATCAGCTGTTGTCTTCTATATTTCGTATACCTTAATCTATGTCAGGCGGTATGAACCGAGGTTTTGTGTTAATTAAAAACCAAGTTTACGCATTATTCCGTGACACGCAGCACCAGCACCGAAACTGTTTATTACTTTCTAACTCAAATGTTGCATGAAAATTTTGAATTTTGCGCGGATAAATTTTGTTGTTACCAATGATCTTTGTCACCTATTTTCTGAAGTTAATTGCTTAGTTAAATTTGAACATTTCAGTCTCAGCAAGCAACTACAGGGTATTAAAAATACGCTCGAAATTTCATAGGGTCAACCTAAGAAAATTTAGTCTTACTTTGCGATTAACTTAACTGCCTCGGTGGCCGAACGGTTGCCACGCCGGACTGCCACGCAGTGGTCCCAGCTTCGGTTCCCGGGTCGGGAGAAACATTTATATGGCCTACATTTATTTCTCTCGTGAGTTTAAGTGTAATTTGTGGTTGTCTATGTGTCCATGGTACCCGCGACATAGGATTTCC